CCTAAATGTATAAGAGTATAATCTATGATTAAAAAAACATTAATACACAAAATTTACAACCAAATGTCTGCAGCATCTTTTGTAATAAATGAGCACACACACACACACACACACACACACACACACACACACACACACACACACAGTTATTGATATGTTTCTTCTTGTTTTGGTCCTTTCAGAAACTGCAACAACACAAGAGTTCAAGCTACAGTCATGCACAGACACACAAACACACACTAGTTTAATCTGTTGACACATGTTCATCATTTCATAAAGACATCTTTATGTCGAAGAGGTTTTAGCTCAATATCTATAAAATTGACTGAATTAAAATAATATGTTTCTAAYACAGTATTTTGGCTGTGGCGGCCATCTTGAATTGGGTCGACTCCACAACCTGTTAAATGAAAGTTTTATAAAAGCTCGTTTAATGTTTGTGGAGATATTTGGCTAACAGACATGGGATAATTAGGGTGGCTGTCGATCAGTTTGCAGAACGGGACAAAGGAGGCACCCGTGGCACCCCTACTTCACCATAACACACATTCAATAAATCAGTCAGATCATTTTGTGTGTGTTTCAGTGTGTGTGTGTGAGTGTCTGTGTATCTGTGTGTGTGTGTGTGCTCCTGCCAGCTTGAATGGGTCCTCCTCCAGGTCAGAATACAATCTGAATATATTTTGTCTGTTGTTCCATCTGAATAACAAAGAGCTGTGTGTGCGTGTTTGTGTATCTGCGGAGCTTCCTGTGTGTTTGTGTATTTCACATGTGACACCTCACATCGTGGATTTTACTAAATATTTTGCTGCTTCTGCATCTTCTTTCTTTCCTCTGTTGGAAATCTAGACGTGGAAAAAACACGTGGATCTCATTAATGTGTCTTACTTTTCTACACTTTCAGAATAAAAGTACATTTTTAATAAATGCTTCAAGTGCAACTGTTTATTAAGGATGTCCCGATCGTGATAGTCTCAAACTGTGGCTGTTTTTTGATTGATTGATTGATTGATTGATTGATTGATTGATTGATTGATTGATTGATTGATTGATTGATTTAAACAGGAAAAGATGAATAGAAATCAAGCCTGACTCAGCATAACTGCTGTTTTACAGCAGGTTCCTGTTCTGCAGAACTTAAAACACTCAGAAATCCAACATCACAACCCATTTTGTGTTTGAAAATACTTGCATACCACAGACGTGTTTTACAGCAGCCATGTTACAGAACAGCTGAAGTCAAACTGTAGAAAGTAGGTCAACAGACATGACTGACGTCAGCTGCTCAGATACTGATCAGTGGAAAATGTCTTTGATAAGAACCTCGATTCAATGAGCAGGATTGACTCAGGACTTTTCTGCTCATTTTATAAAAAGTATTAAATAAAATGCAGTGATTTACAGATCTCACAAAGCCATGTAATATTTTTATTCATTTTTCTGTATCATTTTTTGAGGGGAAAATGAGGTAAAGTTGAATTTCAAAATCGTAAAAATCTTTGGAGCAGGTTTTGTTTCCCTCTGTGAAGCTTCCTCTCTTCAGAGGTCGTGTTGTTTCCAAAAGGAATTTTAAACCCAGCTGGTTCTTATTCATACCACTTTCTTTTACAGCCTTTTGTTGCTTCCGTCCAGCTTTTTAAAGATGTGTTGCTGACATCTAATTTCAAATTACCTTATTTTTTCCAATATTCATGTGTACGATGTTTCAAAAAGAATAAAATGTTTATGAGATTTGAAAATCATTTCACTCTGTTTTTCTTTTACAAGTTTATCTGAAAATGTAGACACATTTGCTCCAGAAGCTGAGTATTTCAGTATGAACTTTAAACTTTGGCTTAGTTTTGGCGTTTGTGTTAAATTTGTACCCTGGGAACCGGTTCTAAATGAGGTCCCAGCTTCCCATCCGTCATTTTAATAGCAGCTCTGTTTCTCTGCCAACTTCATTAGGAATAAAATAAAGACTGTTCAAATGTACCAAAATTATCAAACAACGTAGCCTCGATGTCTTTACAATTTAGTTTCTGCATCTTCACGTTGKTTTTCTCAGTCCATGTAGCTTCTCATTCTGATCAGGCTTAAAAATTGTTACTTTTATTGTTAAATTTGACATTGGCCAGGAGAAAACTGGTATCAGTCAACGTTTGATTTGTTTTCTCACAGCTTTGTTTTGTATTTTTAGCTACTAAGTGACAAAAGTATCACGACTGCACTTAGCCAAAAGCCCCGGATCATCAGCGGAGCTATAAAACATCCTCCTTATGAACCATTAGCATCAGTTTCTCAGATCAGCAGGAAAACTTAAGGWGCTTGGCTCTAAAACCTCTTTCAGGAACAGACTTTTACCTGATGCTTAGTGTTGATAAAAGGCCAAACCGTAAAGTTTGGTTAAACTTTCTCAAGTTGTCTTGGACCCTTTACTTTGTCTCTGGTCTTTCTTTTCATGTCTCGGATTGTGTTTACTGTTTGTGCCTCCTCTCCTCCTCCAGCAGGTCTATGACAGTGATTACTCCAACCGCCAGCCAGTGTTTGTTAGCACCCCGTTGTTATCTTGTCTGCTGCTCGGGCCGGAGCAGACAGACACTAAGGTTAGGCGGTGAGGTGGCTGAAAGCGAGCTGCAGGTTTTGATGAGGGAGCTCGTTTGCTTATTGGCGAAAGATGGGAAAGTTAACACAGCTGTTCCTTTGATGTGTCCGCTTGCGACGAGGCAGTTTCTGTTTCTGCACCCAGTGCTTGTGCAGCCTAGTCCTGTGSATAAGTTTCATGTAAAAATACAACAGATGCTTCTTTTCAGAACGCTTCAAGATGGCCACAACAAAGCAGTCTTAGAAAATACAAAAATGGTAAAAGAACTCATCGAGTGTCACAGATATTCAGCTAAAATTTGATGAGGTATTGRCTGAACATGGAGTCAACCCAATGCAAGATGGCCACCACAAAAATAATCATAACTCTGTGAATTTYACAGATACTAAGCCAGAGTTTGGTGCAGCAGTAGATGAGTCATTACATTACACATAATKCTATCAAGGTTGAACCAAAATGACTACAACTCCATTATTTCTCAACACCAGATAATCTTTGTCATTAGATTTCATTTCTTCAAGGCGTTAAAGGGTCTGTGACATACTTCTGTTATTTAAAGTTAAAGAAAACTTTTTTTATTTTAAAAAAACTTTGCTTAATACATGATTTTACCCATTTTGTCTCATAACTGGCAGGTTTTCTTTTGAACTGGGCCCAGCGAAACAGGAAGTGACATCAAAGGGGAACTCTTTAAGCGGGAGAACTCTCTGGTTTTTGTTTATTAAAACAATATTATTTGAACTCTGCCTCGTCATCTTATCTCCCTAACAGTTATTCAAATAATAATAATAATCATCAGCTTCTTCTCTGCTGTCTGTGTTGTCGGCGGCTTTAGCATGGCTCTTTTCACAAGCAGATATTCCCCTTTGACATCACTTCCTGTTATTTCACGTGCAAATATCTTAACCATTCATCTCAATGGAATGACTTTTTTTTGCAAAATGTTATTAATGTTTTCTTTCCAAAACTACATTAATGTTTATAACAATAATTTGATGTCACAGACACTTAAATGGTTTTATTGATTTGTGTTTTCTGTTTGTTTTTTATCATTTTTGTAGAAAAATATGCATTGTTCAAAATGGTATGTCTGAATAACCAGGAATCCACTGGATTTCTTGTCAAAACTTTATTCTCAGTCCTCTGACTCCAGTCAGGTTCAGAGTACAGCACCCAGCAGGCCTCAGAGTAAAACCTTGGGCTGAATCAAAACAAAACACAGGAGCTCTGCTCTGAGCAGACTCTGCAACCCACTGACAACTTCTTTCTACCATAATTATGAATTGACCATATAATGTTCGTCTCTTCCTGGTTACACCCCTGGAGGTGTTACCTTTTACGTCAGACGTAGAACATCACTCATTTTTGTTTAGACTAAAAGAAAGAACACATGATAAGACACACACCAGCTCTTAGTCTGCTTTAACCATAACGGCTGCAATGATCAGAAACTATAAAATAAAATACTGCATCTAGTATTCAGTTAATCAGTTAAAAGATTTCCTTCAATCTGTTTCCTGAAATATTGGAAAAGTCACCTCCAGTTTCTAACATGTTTGTGTGAATTTGCCTCRAGTTGAAATATTTTTTTCTTTTCCCTACAGCTCCAGGAGAGTGTGAAGAGGAAGCTGGACAACGCTCGGTCGCCCCTGAATGGAGACCAGAACGGCATCTGYGACAGACGCAGCTACTCACCGACTCCCAAGCGGGTTCTGAAAGAGAGCTCGGTTTTGGACTCTCTAACAGGCCTCCCTAAGAACAATAACAGTCTACCGCCCATCTCTCCGCTGCATCACCAAATGGACATTAAGCCCCTACTTGATGGGCCCAACACCTCCAGCGCAAACAACACTACAAACAGCAACGGCACCCACACGGGTCGAGCGTCGGACGAGCTGGGGAAGAGCGACGGCATCCATCACCCGGACGTGAACCTGAACTCTTCTCTGGACTTGGAGGACAGTCTCGGCCTCCTCAAGGACCTAAAACAGGAGCCGCTGGACGACGGGGGTGGCATCGAGTCCACCGATCCCCAGTCCCTCTCCAATCAGAACAAACTGTTCTCGGACATCAACCTCAACGACCAGGAGTGGCAGGAGCTGATCGACGAGCTGGCCAACACRGTGCCCGAGGACGACATGCACGACCTCTTCAACGAGGACTTCGAGGACAAGAAGGAGGTGGAGTTTGGCAGGCCGGCCAACAATCAGACRCCAGGTCCGCAGGACGCGGTGGGGACTACGACCACGCCCGGAGGAGGGGCRGCGCCCACCACTCCTCTGCCTCCGCCTCCTCCTCAGCCTCCACAGGGAGGCCCGCAGGTTCCCATTGGGTCACCGCAGGTCAGTATGGAGAGGGGTTCCTCACTATGGTAGAATGACATTTCAGTTTTTTATTCCCTCACATTTACCACAGATGTTTAATTTACTGTAAACAGACAACC